CCCAGGCAGGGGACAGCCGCAGCTCTGAGGCGGAAGGAACGACTGAGCCAATGGCTAGGGGAGGCAGGGAGGACCAAAGGACCACTCACTTTTGTCACAGCGAGGCCCGTAGTGATTGGGGTCGGAGCAGAACTGACACTGAGAGCCTCGGAATCCAGTCTTGCAGATGCAGGTCCCATTGCCACTGAGGCCGTCCGCACACTGCGAACAGAGGGGGCCCCCCGGTGTGCTTTGAAGCCCATACCCTAGCATTCTTGAACTTAGATTCCCTCCGGTTTTAAATGATCCAATGGGACTCCTTGTAGAAAGGGGATTCGCGTTGGCATCAGGCTCCAGGGTGATAAAAATGGTTCGCATGGGTGGCGGCTAACCCCAAGGCTGAAGGTTCGAGTTCCTCCAGAGGCCCCTCATCACCAAAGCCCCCCTGATCTACTTCCCCCAGTCAGCCACTGGAAACCCCACCACGCAGTTGTACTCTGACACGGAATGGGCCCAACCATCCTTGGTTTGGATGTGAAAACCATGGGCGAAGGGGGATTCCAAGGCAGGATTTGGAATGCGAAGGGAATATCCTGAGGGTGGGTGTTGTGATGGTGAACTGAGAAGCACCAAGCTTGAAGGTGGTCAGTGGTCACTCACAACCCTTGAGAAAGACGGCCTACCCTTTCTCTCTCCAGTCTCCCCATTGCAGTCTGTTCTCTCTTCAGTGGTGAAATCCTGGGACTCCCCCCCTCTCCAAGCCCAGCAAGGTTAGATTCGTGGGGACATGGCATCGTTGGGCTTGGCTGCCTGCCTGACCCCCTGCTGCTTTCAGCCATCAGCCCCAGCTTCTTCCCACCCCCCTCACCTGTGTGCCCTCCCTACTGGAGGCTGCCCCATTTCCCATCCCCCTGCAAAGAGCCACATTTCAGATCTCGGGCTGCCTCATAGGAAGCACTGTTTGCTCTAGCCGCTGAGCTCCAAGAGCGCGCGCTTGGCCTTGACATCTCACGGGGATTTGCAGAGGAGCGCTCCTGGCACAGTGGGTCCTGTGCTGAGCTGCTATCCACAAGGGTAGTGGGCTGAATCCCCCAGCTGCTCTGCAGAAGGATGAGGCTGTCTACTACTGCAAAGATTTACAGTCTGGGAAACCCAGAGGGGCAACTCTACTCTTTTCCTGTAGGCTCACTATGAGTAGAAATCGACATGATGGCAGTGAGGGTTGTGTTTTTTTGTTTTTTTTTTGGCCCAAAAAATAAAAAGAAAGACCTCCAACACAAAAAACAGCCCCCCACAAGAAAAACCTGAAAAAGCCAACTTCCTGCCCTTGAGTCAATTCCAACTCAGAGTGACCGACCCTATAGGAGAGGGTAGAACTGCCCCTGTGAGTTTACAAGTCTGTTCACTCTTTGTAGGAGTGGAAAGCCCCACCTCTCTCCAAGGAGTGGCGGGTGGTTTCAAACTGCTGACCTTGCAGTTAGCAATTGCTGCAGTTAGCAGCAACTCAAAACCACTAGGCCACAGGAATTTGTTACAGAAGGTTGCGGGTTGGGGAGGGGACAGTCATCACTGGGAGGTACCATTTTCTTCATATTTTTAAAAATATCGTAAGACATTGATTCTGGAAGGAATCCCCTCAATCTTCCCTGGGAGGAAGGGGCGGTCCAGCGTTGCCCGTGACCATGGCAACAGGGGAGCAGAGACTAGAAGTAGCATCACCAGACTGTTTTCTCCTCGCACGCCTGGGCCAAGCTTCCTCCTTCGCTTGCAGGCACCTTCTCTTCTTTGAGTAACTGCCCTGTTCTTTCTAAGCCCTGGGGTAGGATGTTGAGTCCACCCAGAAGTGCCGTGGAAGAAAGGCCTGGCCATCTACTGCTGAAAGATCGCAGCCATTGACAACCCCGTGGCAGGCAGTGCTGTTATCACACACACGAGGTCACCATGTGTTGTCACTAAGTTTTGTTTTATTCATAACTGCCCGTGAATCACGTAGGGGGCGGATAAAGCTCTCTACTCCCATAAAGAGTTACTTACAGTCTCAGCAACTCACAGGGAGTTCTACTCTGTCCTACAGGGTCGCTATGAGTCGGCATCATCGCGATGGCAGTGGGCTTACTTTGTTTCTTAGTGAGTAGTGCCCTGCACCATTTCACTTTTTTCATAGTGACTTTTAAAACGACTTTTCAACCTGACTTAAGGAAGGTCGGGGAACCTTGGTGGTGCAGTGGTTACGGGTTACAAGGTCAGCAGTTTGAAACCAGCCATAACTCCTCTGGAGAAAGACTGGGCGTTCTTGGAACTCCATGGTGGGGGGTGGGGGTGTCACTATGTGTCAGCATCGACTCAATGACAGTGAGTTGGAGTTTCAGAAGGGTCACCCCCCAGGGGTCATGAGAGTGGGCAATCAGGGTTGTCCTGGTCACCTGGCCATTTCCCGAGCATGGATTCAAGAAACCTCCTGGGCACGGATTGCAGTCGGGTCCATGGAAACCTTTGCAGCATGCGGGTATCTGAGAGACAAAAGGGTGCTGTCTGTTAGACCTCAAACGCGAGCTCCAGTTCTGCCAAGGACGTCTGCTTTCATATCCATTGTTATCAATGGCTCTAGCCTCTCTTTAGGAGAACATTTCTTTTTTCTGCAGTTGGTGGCATTGCTGGTGCCCCGCCAACTTTGTGAGCATCCACCAGGGGCGCCATCCTGGCTCTCACAGCGGCACAAGACAGGATGGATGGCCTCTTGCTCACAAGGCTGACATTTGATGGGGAGGAGCAGACAATAAATCAAATAAAAATATAATTTCTGAGGGTTTAAGTGCTGGGAAAACAAAGTACCAGATGAAAGTGGCTGCAGGTAGGGGTGCGGTATGGAGGGAAGGTCGGGAGGGACCGCTTTGGGTTGGGGGATGGGGGAAGCTTCCTGGAGAAGGCAGTATTAAATGACCCATTGGATGGGGAGTCAGCCTCACATTAATCTAGAAGCGTGTCCCTCAAGGGAGGGAGCAGCACGGTGCCTTCTTTAAATTAGGACTGAAGGTCAGGGACAGGCAGGGAGATGGGCAGAGGGTGGGCTCCATGTTAAGAAGGGCGGAGGACCTTGGGAGAGATTGTTATAGGAAAGAGGGTGACCTGGTCACGTATAGAGAATCTGCCTTGCGATTCCTCTGTGGGAAGACATTGCCAGCACCTCACCGCCAGCCCGCGGTGCCGGAGGTCCTGGGGCCTGAGTTCCTGGAGCAGCCCAGCCCTCCTGACTTCTTGTGGGGCCTCGCACACGCCTCACCTTCACCGTGGCGTTGCAGTATCTGGCACAGCCACTCTTCAGGCTCCTGGTTCTGCTGGAGTAGACGCACTTGTGTGTGAACAGGGCCTGGAAGAAAGCCGAGGAGAAGGAGCATGGCCAGTTTGCACCTCAAGGTCCTCTGGGCATGACTGAGTGTCTCCAGGCAACGGGCTTTCCATTTTACCACGAGTGCCAGGAAAGTGCTCTGACCATGCCAGCTCCCTGGGATCCAAGCCTAAGCCTTGATTTCGGGCAGGTTCTTGCCTTTCTTCACACCTCCACTTTCTAGTCTCCAGAATGCAGTACAAGTGATGGACGGCATGTGTATCTTTATGGTGCCTTCCAGAGGGTGGCTGGCATCTCTGACTGTTCAGGGCACACTGTCCTGTCACCCTCATGTGGCCTAGTCTCACCTTCAGTCAATTACCAGCCCTCTGTTCTTCCTAGATAGGAATTCTGGAGTCATTAATGTCATTAATATCACATGCAAGTAAAGTTTTGCTGAAGATCATTTTTACCAGACTAAGCTAATATTAGTCTAATGGAAATAAATACATTTTTTGGTGATTTGTTTGGTTAATTTTCATTATTTACCCAGAAAAATGCACTAATTCAACAGTTTCTACATGGTACATTCAGTGACACTGATCACAGTCTTTGGGTCGCACAATCATCCTCACCTTCCTTTTCCTAATTATCCTTGCTCCGTTCCTATAAGTTCATTGTCTAGTCTTTCAAGTTGCCTGTTGCAAATTTAATCCCATATAGATCTTAAAGTGCATAAGACTTCAGGGCAGACAATCTTTACTATTTAACCTAAACTATTTTGGTTGTAGTGTGTTTGACGGTGGGTTGTGAACTGCACAGCCAGCTGTTGAAAACCTACCAGCTGCTTACTCCAAGGGAGAAAGATGAGGCTTTTTGATGAAAATGTACAGCTTCAGAAACCCCAAGGGGCGGTTCTACTCTGTCCTAGAGGGTCACTCTCAGTTGGAATTGACTTGATGGCACCAGGAGTAGTTTTAAGAAGCTTCAGCGGATGAAGGGTTGCCTGGATGACCCGTGGTTTGCAAAGCTGTCACACTTACTGTGGGCTCAGAGTCAGCCGGACACATGCTCCAGTACACCAGGGAACAGCTCACACAGGTGCCCTGCCAGGGAAGACAGTGGATCAGTGCAGGTGCTCCTGGAAGATGGAGCAGGGGGACTCCTGTCCGTGGTCAGATAACTATCCTACCTAGGACAGGAGCACCATTAGGTTACAGAATAGAGTTTGGTTCACGGTGACCCTACGTGAACAGAAGAGAACTGCCCGATGACGAACATGCTCCCGGCTGTGATCTTTTCAGGAAGAGATTGCCAGACTTTCCTCCATAGCACTGTTGGGTGGATTTGAACTGCCCACCTTTAGCCAATTAACCCAGTGCAAGCTGCTTGCACTACCCACGGCCCTCACTAGAGTAAACAGACCCAATGAAAACCATCATAAGTCACCCAGAGCTTGTAGATTTTACTTTAAACCTAAGAGAAATTAGTCAAAAAACAAAAACAAAACTCCCTTCCACAGGCTATTGGGAAATTGCTTTCTTTTTCTTCTTCTTCTTTTTTTTTTTCCCATACGCAAGATGTTTATTAGGGAAATTATTTTCTTGGTCGAATGAAAATTCTTTCAGTTGCAGCTTGAAGTCCTGTCTTGATGGCGTTCTTTGGGAGACGGAGAATACGCTTTGAATAACGTGAATCAGAACTACCCTACAAACAGACAGGTAGTTCGGGCTTCCCTTGTCTCTCCACAGACTTCCTTTTCTGAAGGTCAAAAGAGCTCCTTCCAGGAGAGAACTCTGAAGACCTCTAATGATTGATCCCCTTCCTGAGCTCTGGTGGTGCTGTGGATTAACCCTGGGCTGCTAACTGAAGAGTTGGCAGTTCAAGCCCCCTAGCGGCTCTGTGAGAGAATGATGAAGGGTCTGCTCCCGTAAAGACTGATAG